TGATGGCCACAGCCATCTCAGCAGCGCTTCGCTTTCACAGACAGTGGGGACAATGTCTAACGTTTTTCGTCACTTAGAAAAGTAGCTCAAAGAAAGGTAAGCTCTGTTGACGTGATGTTAGCAAAGCTAGCTGTACAGAGACACATAAGCATTGTGATTTAAAACAGTTGTCACTCACTGCGCTGAATTATTGTGCGGAGATGTTGACTGACTTGTCGCATATATGGGACAACACTGTGTCCAAAAGTGCAATATATTGATGTGACATTCAGGAACAGTACGATTCATCTGCTCGTCTCTTTACTTATTAGATAGGACAGGAGTGTCACTGAGAGTCGTTCTATTATCTAATAGGACCATACGCTGTCAGAATAGCATACATGCAGTTAGTACCATCCCTGCGTATTAAGAAGTCCGACAATCAGAGGAGTTGTCAGTTCACCATACACAACAAGTTATGACAAAAATAAGTCATTAAATTGTTTTCCATGATAACTATATAGGTATGCGTTGTCTTGCTTTCAAATTGTATTTAAAGCAGGGTCTGGCTGCAGCTGTAGGTTAATGAGTTTTACACACCCTGTAAAACTCATTAACCTACTTAACCACTAAGTCAGGATGCCATACAACTGTTAATAAAGCATATGATGATCTACGTCATGATTCTCTGTTGCTAATTAAATAAAATTATATGGGAAGGAGTGAGTGACAGATATAACCGTGAGTTTGTGCTAAGCATATGATGACCTGACAGCGTATGCTGATCTGACAGAACAGAGCAACATGGACAAACACCCAGGGTGTTATCTATTTAGGGATGGCACGAGACCACCGCCGATCGTAGCACAGAGATGGAAGCATAGCAGAACAAAGAGTTTGTTCTGCTTTTAATATTGGTTAAATTTATTAAGTATTTAATATCTAGGTGTTTTTATGTGAATATGGATCTTTCAGATCAATTTGAGAAGTAATTTTGATCATATTTCACATTTTATTGTATCATGTAGCGTGGGGCGCTGGTCTTGGCTCGGTCTCGACTTCCCTCGGTCTAGGTCTTGACTTGGTCTCGGACCCTAAAAGTCTTGGTCTTGTCTCGGTCTCGATACATTCTGGTCTTGGTCTTGTCTTGGTCTCGTATTAGGTGGTCTTGACCACAACACTCCCGAAAATGTTCTCCGTAATTGAACACTTTGTAATATCCATTGTCATAATAACGACTCTCGAGTCTGTGGAGAGAGCCAAAATGTATTTTTTTTCTTTTCTTTCCCTCTCAGATTGATGGTTCAAGATTTCTAATAACACAGGAAGAACAACAAGGACTCAGAGGGTAGAGGGGCTAATCATAAAAGTCAACTATTTGAGAATTATTCAGCAATAATTAAAACCCTCTGCCCACAGAAACTTTTCACTTGATGCCTTTAACCTCTATGTTTATGGATAAACTTGATTATTAAAGTTCCAAACTTTCAAACAACAGCTATTTTAGATCTGACAGTGATTCGTTTGCAGCTATTTCTGGCCGATGCATTCAGACAATACTTGGGTTCTTTGCAACACAGAGACTTTGACTGAAATGCCTTGTATAAACAATACTTTCTCTGCAGCCAAGGAATTTAGTCCTTAGTTATTTTAGCAGGACAGAGCCTCTTTGGGGAAGCTTCTGGCATTTTTCCAAAGTTAAAAGAAAAATAAAACTGGTGGAATTATGTATTATTTTAAAACAAAGAGCTGGGATACACTACAAATGATGTTCAAAACATTTTTTTATATTCGGCTTGTCTGGATACTAAATCTATAATTTAGAATGTAATTTAAAATTCATTTATTTCAGTACTTCTAGTCAGTGCCAAAAGTAAGAAAAAGTGCATATGGATTCATCACGCATATTATTTGTTAATTTTGAGCTAATGGAAAGTTAATTGTTAGGAAAAACTGTGAAGAAAAAAAGGTGCGCATGTAAATGAGATAATCAAAACCGTTTGAGGATTTAGAAAGAAAACCTGTTTAAGAGCCTTAAATGGTTTTTCTTTACCACTGTGGATGATGGCTGTTTCTGCAGAGCCTCTGCATGTAACTGTGTATAGAACATGGAGTATTACTGTCAAATTGCTTGCGTTAAGCTACTTCTGAACCAGATGCTCTACACCAGGGGTCCCCAAACTACGGCCCGCCTCCACATTTGGTCCGGCCCCCTGAACAATACCAGAGAGCATTTAGATTTTTTTTTTTTTTCATTTATTGTATTTTCCGGTTTATATGTAGATTTTTTTTCAACCACCAGTGGGCTCTTTAGCAGGAAGTGTGTCCTGTAAACTGTGGGTGTTTTGTTTTGCATGGCGCATTGCTGGACTTTTAGGGAACTGCTTGACTTTTATGTTATTTAATCAGTACGGTTGTTTGCTAGCGGTAGAGCAGATGAACACACGTCTGTTATGAACCCCGCATTCCAGGTTGAATTCTTCGAAGCAATGCCTGTAAGTAGCAGCTTATACTTCAAAACGAGCCTTTATGTTAACATATGAGAAATTAATATGTTAAAGTTACATTCCCTCAATGGAATATATACTAGTCAGTCCCAGTGACCGTTTCACTCATGGTTTTTGCCCATGTGCTTTCTGGGTAAAAATCGATCGAGAAACGCACCCACCCCCCACCCGTCAACAATTTCAGGCCCCCCACCAGAGAAGGGAAAAGTTATGTGGCCCTCACAGGAAAAAGTTTGGGGACCACTGCTCTACACACACCTTATCTGGGTGGCTGGATTGCTCCTCCAGGGTCAAAGGTTCTCTTTTCAGATGAAAGTATAGTCCTCCAGAGCCTGGAGGAAAAGTGCAACCCAATGTTGAATCTTCTTTTTCTTTCAGATTTTTGTCGTATTGATGAACCACTATGCAAAGACGACAATGCCGTTCTCACCTATGAGGCCATCCGTAGTATCCATAAGCAGATGGACGATGATGCAAACGGCAACGTAGATGTAGTAGAGACTGATGGCGTAAGTACTCGATTCACTGCAAAATCTTACAACTTATTTTATTTTGTCTAGCTTCTAGTGCAAATATCTTAGCACACTTAGAATAAGTTAAATCTAACTTAGAAGTAACTTTTCATCAAGATTGTTTTCATTTGTAACAAGGGGGAAGACGTCTTATTTCACTTACTATAAGTGAAATAAGTGAAATAATCTGCAAATGGAACCAATTCTTTTTTTCAACAATATTAAGGAAGCTGGATTTTAAGAACAGGTTGTAGATCTTGATCATATTGCTCGAAGTGAATTTATTTTCTGTTGCACAATGATCTTACAATCACCACACAGTCATTAAATCTTCCTACATCATTTTATGAAGAAGGAACAGCATCAGGGCTTATTACTGTCTTTCACGTCTGTTGACTACACTGCAGTGGGAGTGCTATATGGGGCTCATTTTAAAAAGAGTGTCAGTGGTTCAGTGGGTGTACAGTCTAGTGAAGATTCATTAGTGAGGCTGTGGAGCCAGTCAGGTGGTAACTACCATTCTAGTGGGTTTTAAAGTGGTTGTGTTTATAAGTTGGTGAAATAAAATAATCAGTTTTAGATCCAATTTTCTTTACAGAAAAACAATTTTTGGAGTAAAATTGAAGTTACAGTAAAATGAACCTGAACATTAGATGACAGGATCAAAGTAAATCAAATAATGCTTTGAATTTTGTTTCTATATAAAGCAAAACGTATTAGCAGTAAATAAGTAACATACACTCTGTAGTCATCTTATTCAGTACATTTTGCTTGTATTGAGTTTCTAACCGCACCAGAACGTGTTGGAAACATTCCTGAAATATTTTGGTCCACATTGTCATGATGCCACCATGCAGTTGCTGCAGATTTGTTTCCAGTGCCGTCATGATGGCAGCTTCTTGCTTCTCGCATCCCCAAGAGGCTCTGTTACATTGGTATCTGGTGGCTGCAGATACACTGGAGTACAGTCATCTTCAACAGTTAGTTTGAGATGATTGAGCAGTGTGACATTATGCATTTTAGTGAAATGTGTATCAGAAAACTGGAACACATTTGTAAGAAAATCAGTGGACAGAAGAATGTCCCATACCATTACTCTAAGATTTCAGCTGTATTACATTTAAATTCTGCTTCAGAAAAAATAACAACTGACTTACTTCTCTTCCACTACCTAAAACTCACGACAATTGTGTTCATGGAGATTGTAATGCTAAATAGGAAATTATGGTTGGTAGTGCAAACTGCATGGCTGTCCTGCACGCATGTCGGTAGAATATGCAGGGAAGAAGAAAAAGGGGAACTTCTCGAATCAGTGCAGGATGCCATGAGACTGCAAGAAGAATGCTGTTGTTGGGTGCAGAGGCTAGGCTCAAGCTTCTTATTGTATTCATGTATGATTGTTTTAGTCGTTGGAGAAAAGATCGGGTGACAATAATAGAGATGCAATAATAGAGGATTGTGGGGGTGCTTTGCTCACATTTTTATATCTGTGCGACCCTGACTAATGCTTTTATTCCACTCAGTCTTAAGAGTGCATTTACGTTGTACTGTTTTACACTGTAAAATATCTCTTTTTGTAATGGCTACAAGAATCCTTGTCATCCTGCAGTTCCTTCGAGAAGATCTTAACTACCACGACCCCAAAGCCAAGCATAACAGTTTCCATGGCGATGACCAGTTTATCAGTGTGGAAGACTTGTGGAACGCCTGGAAGGGTTCTGAAGGTACTGCTTTAAGGCTGTGCTTCAATTATTATTTTTTTTTTCTGCTTTTGTTTTTGTTGCTGCTGTTCTTTGGAATTGTACTAAACTAAGAACCAAAACCATTCTTTAAGTGTTATGTTCTTTTCCTGCTAGAATGCTCGCCATTCACTTAGAATAATCCTGAAGACCAGCTGTCCTTAGATGAAACTTGTGTTTCATGATTCAGGATGGGGTCAGTGTATAGAAGAGAGACTGGGAAAAAAAATCAGTTTTATTTATTATTGTTCTATGTGACCATTAATACAGTTTTTTTATCAATACTTATGCTTCCATTGATCATAAAATTTCACAAATTGGAATTATGAAAATAAATTCACTTACCTGCCAAATTTCAGAACTTTAGTAAGGGGTAGAATATTTAGCTTTATCAAAATTGGTGTGTTTTGCCAAACTGCCAAGGAAAGACTTTTTTCACATCACACTAATCACACCAGTTTGTATCCAGAGCTCCACAGCTTCGCACAGTTTATCAAAAATTTGGTTTGTCATTTGAAAGTTTGAATTAATAGTTCATCTGTAAAATGCCTGACTACAATTTAACAAAAACGCCACTCCCAAGTATAAGGTACTTGTCACTACGTCTCACTAAGACACCTACATCTCCTCTGATGGTGCTATGGCTGGAATATGATTATATCTCATGCAATACTTTACATCCGTCACTGCCATGATTTTTAATGAACAAACTTATTGATGTGTAATTTTAATTGCATGTCTTATTTAATAGAAATACCACAATTGCAAAATTTCTTCAACATTAGCAGAATATCGACAAAATTTTGCATACATTTGTTGTAGAAACGCAGCTAAAGAAATTACATTTAAGAACGTTCCTTAACAACCTAACAGATTCACAATTAAGCTCACATACCCTTGTGAAGCATCTCACTCTCCTAATGAAGCAGCAGAGCAGTTGATTAGATTTATGTGGGCTAAGGAATGGTGGTCTTATCAGCTGCAGATAGTGGCAGAGTGGACATCATTGACTCTGTCAGCACAAAATCCACTTCCACTCTCTCCTCTTTAAAATTATCAGTTTGGCTTCTCTGTCTGGTACAGAGAGCTTCTGCTGTATTCATGTAGCTCAGAGCCCCATTTTCTCTGCTTGTAGTGCTCCCTTAGATAATGCTCTGGAGCTTTTGGGTTGAGTTTTTTTTTTTCCCCTTTAAATGTAATGCGTCAGCCTAGACAGCAGGTGTTTTTGATTCTGTGTAGAAGTTGCAAGGAAAATTTGCCGTTTTTTAATTGTTATATTCTCCTTATCCATAATCATCCATAATATGTTTTTTTTCATGTTATCATAGTACTGCATCATTTAAAAAATTACAAGAGTTCCCCAAGGCTTCCATCTCAGACATCAGTAAATATTTTCTTAGCTGAAGATTCTCTATGTCTTTTCAATTCTTGGTTGCAGGAATGTCTTTTGTCTTCACACTCTAATTTTGTAAAAGACAACAACTTCATCTGAGTCATTGTTTTTCTTTTCAGTGTATAATTGGACAGTAGATGAAGTGGTGGAATGGCTCATCACCTATGTAGAATTACCTCAGTATGTGGATGCATTTCGCAAGCTGGCTTTCAATGGAAGTGTTATGCCAAGGTAAGACTAGACGGGGCCAGCTGATTCGAGCTTAAGTTACAAAGATTAGATTTCAGACTCAACACAGATATGTGTCCCAAAGACTTGAACCTTGACTTATTCTCAGAAGTTCAACACTTTTATTTATTGATGGCTTACCTGGGTCATTGTGATTTCATTTATATCTGAAATTTGAACATCATAATTTTTTTTACAATCAACAACAAAGGTCTTGTAATGTGAATTAAGAAAACGGTTTCAGTTACTGAAATTTCTCAACCTTAGAGTGAAGAGAAGAAAAGCTTCCAAACCATATTAAGTGCAACATATAATTGAGTGGACATGATAAAGAATTTTATTCTATTTTTTTTTGTCCCTGTAATGACTTTGGTTGATTCATTCAGAAATGAAGCATTACCAAGTTTTAGCCTATTACTACTGATTTTCTTTGAGGATAAATGCCTATTTATATTTCCAATTGGGTAAATATAACATTTCATCAGTTTTCAAAATATTAGAAAGGAGCCTTTAGACGTTTTAGTGTTCATGTAGTCTTAGAAACCAAATGTACAGGTTTGGAATCTTAATTTGGAGCGATACAGGGTTAGAGACACATCAATTGTTATGAATTTGATCCAAAAATGTTAATTTCAAATGTTAGCAACTGAAGACTAGACTTGTAAAAAATGATTTGTAAACCACTGATTACTTAACAATCATTGCTTTAAAAAGGGATGAGCTTGGAAGTAGTGTAGAATCACTTGACACAGCTGAAAATGGATAAAGCCTTTTGCTTCCTTCTTCCTATTTCCTGCACAGTGAAGATGTGTCTGCTCTCTCTCAGGCTGGCTGTGAAGAACACCACTCTGACAGTCTCCATTCTGAAGATTCTGGACCGCAGCCATGTGCAGAAACTTCAGCTGAAAGCTTTGGACACGGTGCTTTTTGGACCACCCCTCAGTATGTAGTTGTTTTCTCATTGTCAGTTGTTTTAATCTGTACTTTTATCTACCGTACTTTTCGGACTATAAGCCACTACATTTTCCCCACACTTTGAACCATGTGGCTTATAGCCGAGTGCGGCTTTTCTGTGGATTTTTCTTCAACCGCCAGAAGGCTCTTTAGCAGGAAGTGAATCATTGGAAGTCAACATTGCAAATCGAAGAAGAAAGAGCTGATTTTCATTTAGAACAAGCACATGCTAGCAGCAGGCACGATGGAGAAATTTCTTCAAACTCATACGCCCTCATCATGGAAACCACACGAAGAAAAAGATAGCACTTTTAAGTTGAGGGCTATTGATCTGGCAGTACAGGAGGGAAATGGAGCCACTGCACGTCGTGAACGAGTCCATGGTTTGGCGTTGAAGACAGAGGGCTGCGTCCTTGATGAATCCAGCAGATTTATTAAGTGTGAAAATCGAGAGTGGCAGAATCACATGCGACTTATAACACAGAGTGTGGATTCCGTTTCCAGTTTTTTTTTTTTTTTTTTTTTCAAAAAATTTTTAGGGGGGGGGGGCTCTTAAATC